TACATAACAATGAAGAATTAATTTTGGAATATGATTTAACATGCGGCTATAAATAAGTTAAGAATAATAAATGTGTGGATGATAAGGCCAGAAAAGTGTCCAGGGGTCATCAGATCCAGAGTACTGCACTACAAAGAACTCTTTCTATCCTTGTACAACTTTATCTTATCTCTTTGCAGAAAGGCATTTGGTTGTAAATGTCCTTGTTTTAGTAGCAACATTTCATGCAGATGAATGTAAATGTAACTATCGTAAACTATATTTTAAGAAAAATGTGCCCTTAAAACCATGAATCAGTGCAAAACTATAAAGCTATATCCTTATCATAACATTATAGGTTATTTCACATCATGTAAGAGCTGTTACTTCTTGAAGTAGCCTGGAGTTGTTTATGAAGAAGCTCATTTACAACAAAGTTTGGTATAGTTTGAGAATCTGGGGCCAGGTGAGTAAAGAATCAGCATTAGGAAGATCGTTTACTATCTTAACATATAAATGCATATTACAGGTATTTTTACATCGACATTCTTTGCCATCCAATAGTGGTAAGCCTGAAGCACTACAGAAAGATTTTGTGCTCAGAGATGAGGTTATGTTCACAGCTTAGAGACTGGCAAGGCAGTTGGGATATGGATGGAGCACTAAAACAAATGTATTAAAAAGCATAAACTATATACAAAAATAAGTCATAAGGGAACAGGTTTAGGAATAAATGTGAGAGAAAGGGAGAATTATGGAGTTTCTCATTATTGGAAAGATTTTGTGTAAGTCTCACAATTTACCTAAGAGATTCTCCAATTCTCTGTAAGGAAGAAATTCTCCCCCTCCCGGAAGTCATAGTGTAAAAAAGTCAGAGATATCTCAGAGTCTTCTCAAAACTCTCAATACTTCATAATAATGAGAAACCATATGCTGAAGGAGAAATATTAATAGAAAATGCTGTCTTTCAGATGCTCACTGAATCAATTGAAGACAGTTGACACATCTTTAGTAAGCTGTATACGAATCTTAGCTCATTAACCAGTCCTGTATTATGTATGCGGATTCCAATTCCTCATCTGACACATCAATAAACCAGATCTGAAAAGGTGTCATTTCGGTTTTAATATATCCAATTGTATTTTTAGATGTTCCTCCACTTAGAAGTGTTTGTGTTACTTCCTGATTTTACAAGCTATGGAAGAATGGGTGTGGTAATGATTTGAATGGGAAACCACTGCTTTCCTATAACCTTTTCAAAGATTTTGTTCTGATTACGTTGTAAGGAAAGTAAATTTCTCTTCCTTAGCATTATTTCAGCTCTCTCTAAACCATCAGTTCCCCCTTTAGTCCCCAAATAGAACTTCACCACAAACTTGTGTGTACCACTACTCAATTGCACAATTTCTTAAGTACGTGTGAAACTAGAGAGGGAGAGAAAAAATATTTTTATAAAGAGCCTTCATGTACAATGTTTCTTATAGGCAGATATGGGAACCACCATACACTTTTATAAGGATTCTTAAATGTAACTGAACTGCTCGCCTATCGGATCATCAGTCTCTGGTGATCACAAAGTGTCTATCTAGTGTATTGTGAAATGTCAGGCCACCAGAGCAATTGTACTGTCACCAACTGACACCAACTCAGTTCAAGTATCGACAACTGCATTTGGAATGGTCACTGCAACCAGAAAGAATGCTTATTGCTAAAAATAAAAGGTGACCCAGACCTAGCCTGGGCCTCAAAAAAGGGAGGGTGAGAAAAGGTGTGAATGTTTATAGAGTACTTACTTTTTACTGGTCACTGTGTGAGGTATACTATCTACTATCTTGTTTAATCCCTGAAACTGGCCTTTTAGATATTATTCAAAGAAAGTGGGAAATTTGTCCAAGGCCACATAGTTAATAAAAAACTGTTACAGAACTCAAACCAAGGGCTATGAATTCCAGTCCATGCTCATGTCTTTCGTTCATTCGCTACTTCTTTCTTCATCCACCTAACCCGGTATATGCCGGTATAATAGCTGCCTAGCTTTACAGGAAAACTTCCAGCTAAATGGGAGAACTTAACAGGCATTCAACCCATAGAAATGCCATGTGTAACATCATGTGGATAGAATGTCCTAAGTGCAAGGCAACACAGTCTCGAGAGAGAGAATTCACTCTGTCTGGGGAATTTCATAGTTCTTTCACTTAGTGGTGAAACAAACTTAGTAGTTTTTTTTTTTTTTTCCAAACTTAGTAGTTTTAATTTCTGTGCAAGCACCATGGCAATGACCTTGCATTAACTGAGCAATCCCCAATCTTTCTTCTTAAACCTGAGAAATATGTTCCCTAAAACTGAGGTTTGCTGGATGTAGCCATTTAGACCACTCTCCACTTATCATTTCTCCAACTTAATTTATGGCTACTACTTCTGTAATCCCCGGTGTCAACTTTTCGGAGTTTTCCCTTTTTTGGAAGCTCTGGCATTGACCTGACCATTACAGGTGAGAGATTGCAGTGAAACTAGAAAGATTTCCTCTCTCTTCTCCCAACATCATCTTTATTGCTTGAACCAAGTAGTTCACTCCCAGGTAAATTGTACTACTAGCATCGTGCCAAACCATGCAGAATGTATCCACCTTGTGAATGCAGACATGTACGCATATGTATTTGTATATGTCTATGCGTATATGTGTGTGGATTTATATATAATCATGGGTGTGTGGTATTAGCTTCAGGTGACTAGAACGGGGTATCCAAGTATTCCTAAGAGCTTTGCCCTGGACATACTATGCCAATTTCCCTCTCATCTTTATTGAGTCGTTTTACTTATTTTTCTGAGTTTGTTACATCCCATAAGATCCAAATGGTCCTATGAAGCATCACATTGTCTTACCATCATTAAGCTACAAAGGGGCTCTCTATCCTTTTGGCAGAAAGATTTTATCTGCCGTCTGCTATGATGTTGCAACTGGCTTTTCTTTTTCTTTCTTTCTCTTTCTTTCTTTCTTTCTTTCTTTCTTTCTTTCTTTCTTTCTTTTTTAATTTCTCTCTTTCCCTCCCTTTGTCTCTTTCATTTGCAGTTGTCCAATCCATATTATGTTGGAACTCTTCTAAGAATAACTGCAATTTTGAAAGCTCAACTGTGGGAGGCATTATTTATAGGCCTTTGTGGTTTTGGGAGGAAGAAGAAAAGTTTCCAAGGCAGAGTTCTACTAGGAAGATTGCCCCCCACTCCACTTTAGCCAAATACCATCTTTTGCAGGATATTTTCCTATAATTCCTTATTAGAAGTTTCTTTGCAACAGTGTATTTAAAAACTATCATTTTCTGAACCAACTCTTCCTTACCTCACTATATAAAGTTTATATACCTAATAATGGGTGATAATGAATTGGGCTTTGGAGAGCACATTGTATTAGGAATTGTGTTTGGTTTTAGTATCAGAGACTCGTCTTCAAAGGCTTTGGTACGCACGAGCTGGTTTTCTTACGTTAAACGAACTCAGAGAGACAGTAAAGGACTGGTCTGACTGCCCCACAGATTCAGGGAGGCTCCTTTTAGCTGTGTGTTCCACTCCACATCCAAATGGATGATACACCATTCCATCTACATTCTGAGGAGCAGAAAGGTAAAAAGGCTAAAAAAGCGAAATCAGCTCCCTGCACATGGCCTCACCAGAAGTTCCATCCATCACTTTGACTAAAGTTTCTGTGGCAGGATGTGATCACACGGTCACATGTGAAACTAGAGGAGAAGAGAATGAATATTGGGTGAATGTGTACCTAACGTATTACCCACCTATATCGCCTTTTCCAACAGTGACCTCTTAAGGATCACCAGGAGTTCTGTGTTAGAGGTTAGAGATAGGATATAGAAAGGAAAGGTACCTGAGTCAGTGTATATCAAGTGTTTAAGTTCAATAAATAATTACAGTTCCAAATCCTGGTTAAAATTATGGTGAGATGAATTCTCTAGGTGCTAAGTAAATCAATTCTTATTATGCAATCCATGCCCATAAAGGAAACAAAATGAGGGAAAGCAATCTATGTGGTATGTAGTTTTAAACAACTTCCTATTTTTTTACATGTATATGACTAGGTATTATGCTTTCAATTTTTATTTTTTGCACTTTCTTATTTTATAGCAAAAGCAAAATGTGTTAGGGAGAAAAGATAGCACAGAGTAATAAAGAAGATTATTTCCCCTCCACAAAATCAAGTGAACAATAGAATATTGGTAATTGAATCACGCTGTGTGTCCTCAACTGTTCGTTTCCTATTGCTGCTATAACAAATTATCACAAACTCAGTGGCTTCAGACAACACTAATTTATTATCTTACATTCCTGGAGGTCAGAAGTCTGAAATCATCTTCACTGGGCAGAAATCGAGGTGTAGACCTGTGCTCCTTCTGGGGGCTCTCTTTCCTTGCCTCTTCCAGTTATTAGAGGCTGTCTTCACTCCTTAGCCCATAGCCCTTCGTCACATAGCCATTTATCCTTCTGCTTCCATTGCCACATCATCTTTTCTCTCTGACTCTGATCTTCCTGCTTTTCTCTTAACCACCTTTGTGATTATACTGTCCCCACTCAGATAATCCAGAATAATCTCCCTATTGCAGAGTCTCTAATTGAATCACATCAGCAAAGTCCCTTTGGCCATAGAAGGCAACATACTTGCAGGTTTCAGAGATTAGGGCATGGACATCTTTGGAAAGCCATTCTTCATCCTACCACATCTTATAAAATAGTAAAGCATTTATAAAACTGCTTCAATACCTGATCTTAACAAGAGGATTATGTCAAAGCCATACTATTGCTGCTTCATATTACTATGATCTACATCAGAGCCAAAATAAAGAAACTCCATGATAATGATGTTGAATACACTGATTCTCTTCGGCTACTGATTAGGACTTTAAGTTGTTAAGTCTTTGTCCAAAATTCTCCTAAGAAAATGCCCTCTTGCATTTAGGAAATCTCATTCTTTTCTAACATTCCTTTTATTTGTTAAACTTTTTTTTTTTTTTCAGAAAAGCAAGACTATAACACAAGAATTGAAACTATAAAGTCTCTTGTGCAAAAACTCCCTCCACCAAATCGTGACACCATGAAAATCCTGTTTGGACATCTAACTAAGTAAGTTGAAAGAGTTTTTGGTTGTATCATCATATTCTCATTTCTTACTTAAGCAGTATTTAACTTCAAATCTCTATGACAAGATTTTCCAAAAGTATGTATCTCAAATTTTCCCCTTAGCCAATCTAAGTCTTCCTACAGAAGCTGGAGAATGTACAAGAGGTAGGAAGGAGAACCTACAAAAGGAACTTCTAAAATAATTTATTTTTCCTGGTCTTTTCAACGAGTAGATATTTGCTGATTCATTGACATAACCTGACCCAGAGCCCTGGGATGGATTGTCTTTACTTCATTATCTAGTATAATGGGAAGAGCATGAAATAATTCAGACATGAGTGCAGAACATAGCCTCATCGTGTACAAAGTGCTATGACCACAAATAAGTTACTTACACTGTCTAAAATCAATTTGCTCGTTTGTAAAACGTTGATTCAGATTGGTAAGGTGCCATCCATGTAAAAAGCTAAGGGAAGAGTATGAAGGCAGAGAAAAAGTACGTGAAAAGACACAGAAGCCAACAGAGCTTGATGTATCTGAAAAACAGAAAGCAGGCCGGGATGCTAGAGCTTAACGAACTAAGGGGGTGGTGGTGGTAGGAGGTAAGGTCATAGTGGCAGACTGACTGGCGTCAGATCACATAGGTTCTTGTGGGCCTCAGTGAGAGATTTGGATTGTATTCTAAGTACAATTATCAACCATAAAGAGTGCTGAATTGAGGGAGTATAAAAGATCACTCTGACCCATGGAGAGAACAGACTGCAAAATGGAAGCAGGGAGACCACCAGCCATGGAAGTCCAGACAGGAGGTAATGATAGCTTACGTGAAGTCCTTAAAGACATATATTGGCTATGGGTCAGGGTGGATCTGCTGCTGGTCAGAGTGCAGATGAAAAAGGAAAGGAGAAATCAAGTGTGCGTCATCGGGTTTGGGCTTAGGCAAGTGAACAAATGGTAGTACTTACACAGATGGGTTGAATCGGAAGAGCGGACTGGAAAGCTCCATTTTGGACATGTTAAGTTCAAAATGACTGTTACTCATTTGCTCTCTTAACACCTTCTTCAGATAAAGCAGAGTGCACTACAAATAATGAGGTTTTAGCTTTCACCATATACCTATAGTAATGTTGAAGCCTGATAGAGTGTCAAACAGATCGGACAGTTTGTTTTTGTGAGATTAAATCTCCTTAATCACCTATTCCTTGGGTGATTATTGAACTAATCCTGTAAATTCAATACATGTAATTGCACACACACACAAAATTTAACCAACAGTGGTGCATATAGATTAATAAATGAAATTTGCCTACTGGTTACTCTGAGCCTTCTGAGCAGAAGTAACCAACGTTTTTGTGTATATGTGTATACGCACATAAACATATGTGTATATGATTATTATTGCATTACAGTTTATCATACTGTACATTTAGTTCTGAAGTATTTTGCAAAATACTTCATGGAAAGTCTCCCATTTCATTAGACAGATTTATGTGATTCTCTCTAATGATGACATAGTATTCCACAGTATGGATAGTCCATAATTCGCTTAATCAGTCACTGCATTAGGGAACATACTTAATCTAATCCATTATATAAGTTTCTTTCTTATTTTACCCCAGAGGAGAACCTGTGCCAAAGTTCATACCATTCCTTATTGCTCAAATGTCCCTTCTTATCACCTCCCCATACTGGCTATCATAGGAAACCCAGTGTGGCTTAGTGAAAGGATATTGGGCTTTAAAGAAATAGAGAGAGAGCTCTAGAGTCAAATACTTGTTCTATACTTTACTCCTCTTATGATCTCAAGAACATAAAACTGGATTAAATAATATCAGCCATAGCTTGTGGTCATGAGAATTAAATGAGATAATGCATGTATGTAAAATGCCTGGCTGGAGGTAAACATTCCTCAAATGTAAATTCTTTTCCCTTAGGATTCAGACATATCATGAAAGGGGTTTCAAGTTTCAAGTAAATACTGGAGTGCTTATGCCAGTAACTTTAACTGGACAAAGTCATAAAACAAATGGAAAAGTATACTATTTAATGCTATGCAATACCTAGTCTTGGAGACCTTGAGAAATATCCATTACTCAATCTCAATTATTCCTTTTGTTCCCCCCAACTGAAACGAACAGCTAGAGAAAGAAAAAAAAAAATAGTGTCCGCTAAATCCTCCTTTAAAACAAAATAGAAACACAGAGAAAATCCATCCAATTGAAAACCTCAGAAGGATGAGAATCCTCCCCATTTCTACCACACCATCCCATTATTATATCACTTTCACAGCATTCACCTTGTAAGACTTTTCATTATAAATGGAGAGAAGAGTGTGATTTGCTAGTCACCAACCTTTCTTGAGTGGTGTGACCATATTCCACCCTGTACTGATTTATAAACGAGGTTTAATTAAGCACAAGTGTGTGTACATGATTATATCTTGTTAATCATTTTTTGCTAAGTTTTTGTTAAACAGCCAATCGTGGCATGTCATGAAAGCCTGAGAAGACTAAATAAGAAGATTGTTTAGCAGGGATTTAAAAATATTCATGTTTGAAAGAATCATTAGAATGTTTTCCTTAGTCTTGATGCATTTGGTAGTTCTTCAGAAAATCTACCGTCAACACTTGTATGTAGTGTTTATTTCAAATTGTTGCAAATATATATTTTTTGAAGTTTGTTTAGTGAGGGTCAGAGAATGTAATGAAGTGCCAAAAATTCCACTTGACCTATGTACTCTCTAGCTCTAGCAACAGAAGAGAACTCCATTTTTGCACAGCACTGAATTAAACATCCCCTTGAAAGCAGAGCAACTACCAACTGAGAGCGCTTAATACAGCACGATTGGACTACAGGGTGGATGCCAGTCTTGTCCGCAAAAGCCAGAAATTTTAAAGGGCTGTGATAACATTAAGTATAAGATTACACAATGGCTGCACCAGCTGAATAGTCTCAGAGTCCAGAGTCTTCATTCTTGATCTAACTCAAGGTCAAGTTCTATGCATCTGCTGTGATAGCATGAAACCAGAAATTCAGAATAAGCTATCATCTCAAAATGCCATCAACCAGAAACCTTTATTATGAGCCACTTTCACAAATTGACATTACAGTGATAAGTACTGTAAGGTCCCATAGTACCTTCTGAATCATCACATAAACGACAAGTTCTATCTCTGTAAAGTGTGTGTCCAGTGCATTTTCTTTTAGCCTGCTTCTTTGGAAAGGCAGGAAGACAAAGTGAAGAGGAAGTTAATGAGGAAGGAGGACCTGGAAAGATAAGGGTTAGTTGTTGATGGACAGTAGTCAGAGATTAAAAGCCAGGCAAAGGAGTTACATAAGCAATAGAGAACCATTGAAACTTTATCTATGGGACATTTATTTGCATGATGTGCTCAGAGTTTATGAAAAGCATCCAACACCAGAGGGTAGGGTGAACAAGATATAAGGAGAAAAGAACCCAGGAGGCTACATGGAAGTTGTAGTTGGATTAGAGTGATGAACATCAAGTGGAAATAAATAGCCTAAATCTTGAGAATTTTCAGAGGAAATTTCTAAACAATTTTTTTTTATTTCTCTCATTTCTTTATCCCCATATCCAGCCATCCATGGAGTTAAGTCTCAGGTTTCAATGTTGGGGATTGTGAAAAGAGTCCCTTGGACAGTGATAATAATGATGATAATAAAGCAAAAGAAGATATTGTGGAGAAGAGTTCACCCTTTACTCTATTTTGCAAATATAAATAGGGAGTTGAGGTTATTGAAAACTAATTAAATAGGATGAATCTCATTTTGTCAGATGTGTATTGAATCAAGCTTTTTATATGCTGCTAGTCAGAATGTACCAACCAGCATGGTGGGAAAGCCATATCTGTACTATAGCTCAAGAATAAAAAGCTTTCAAGTCTTCATGTCTTTTGGGCCAGTCATTGTAAGTCATGAGGGAGGCCTTTTATGTAGACAAAATTATTTATGCCAGCCATATTTGCACTGGTAGACACTTGGAAACAACCTAAGTGTCCAGTGACTGGGGAAGGTTTTACACAACATGATAAATGATATCAGCGTACTGAAATGTGGTTCATAGCTAATTGTTGTTGTTGTTTTTAAAGTCAGGGATACAATATCTTATATACTCCAAAAGAATCTAACTATAAATATGTGGAACATTTGTGCAACTGGATAAGACCAAAATTTTTGTTGAGATGTTAATGTTTCTTTCCTAGAGTTCCCCCCCCCCCACCATGTATTGCCATTGGTATAGAAGTATATTGGTATATTGGTATAAAAGGCAATATTGAGGTTAAGAAAACAGGTAAAGAGAGCAGATACTGGAGTTAGGCAGACCTGAATATGAGTCTTGGCTCTACCACTTATGGAAGATGTAACTTTGAACAACTCACTTTCATTTTCTCATCGGTAAACTGGGGATCATCACAGAACCTCTTTCTCTGGTGAGGGCTAAACGAATAGTTTTTTAAAGAGTCTCATACAGTACCTGTCACTTATCATATTCTAGATAAACATTCTACATCAACATGTATCTTTTTCATAGTGAGAGAAATAGAAGATAATTTTTAATGAAATGAATCTGGAACAGTTGCACAAGCTGGGTTGCCAAATATCCTGGCTTCCAGAAAATGTTTTGTCCCACCACAGAATCTTTTTGGAAAACCTAAGTCCCCACCGTGGCCTGACTCAGCCAGTTTCCCCTGGTCTCAGTGAGGCTGATTTCACCTGTTTGGCAAAACACATGACACCTCACACCAATCTCTTGTGAAGTGCCCAGACCAACTCCACCCTGTCCCTAACTCTCCATCAACTTGATCTGCATCTTGTCCCATGTTCTCAGATCAGACTCTTCTTCCCATCACAATGGTGGCTCGCTAAGATCATCTACTCTACCTTGACTCTTAGGCAGGTGGGAGGAGGTTGGAGATAGGGCACAGGTCTTCTGTGCTTCTTGTCCAGAGCCTTCCCTGTTACAGGAGTTTCCAAAGGAGAAA